CCCCCCCCCCCCCCCGAAAAAAAAGTGGATGGGGAACGGACAATTTACTCATGATTTTGCCTTTCGCCTGTATTTCAAGGAATAGTTAGTAGGGATTTTTCAGTTTCTAACCTATTCACGGTTTTCTCATAGAATTAATATTCACCTGGCAGAATGAAAATAAAAATAAGCTTGTTTGGCAGAATCAAGAAAGTTTTAGTATCCTCGGCAGGATTTGAACCCAAACATGGGTGCCCTCTACGCTTTTGTACAGTGCACGCTTTACCAGCTCAGCTCCGAGGCCGCGTCGATAGCTGAGGTGCCGTCCGTGCGTGGGTTCGAACCTCACCATGACTGCTGAACTTTTCACAGTTCGAACAAAAATAAAAAGATGTCAAACATCCATCAGTTTCTGATCTGAACTGGAAATAAAATTTATCGAACCGCGAAGCTCTGAGGTGGACAAAGAAAAGTTGAATTGTATCCTATTTCCGCCTATTGTTTTCGAGTACTCTATGACTCAGAAGACATTGTTCTTAGACCAGGTGCATCTAACCCGTTTACATCCAGCCGTGTGATTATTATTTGACCCGGTGAGACACCCTGTCCTTGTTGCACCCATAAACATGCAGATCTCGCGGCATGAGTAGTTTTGGCGGCTCAGTTTGCTTATTCAACGAGAGTAATAATCACCTTGCTCTGTACCACACTTGCAAACGTTTAGTCAAAGTAGATAACTCGTGCTACCTAAACATCTAGGTTAGTGTTTGCAAAGGTTGATATCTAACTCTCCCCACAATTTGCTGTCGACGCGGGTATTCGAAGATTAGTTGATTTACCATAGATTCTAATTAACGGATCAAGATAGAGGACGGAGACCAGCAATGTGTGTATTTACACGGGACTGAGAAACGACCAATGTCCATGAACAAGGAGTGGACTAATATAAACCGATTAGATATCAATAGCAACTCTGGTACGCTGTCACAACGCCGGGAGTCACTCTGAGTGGCTTTCTATATCACAGGCACCATTTAGTTCAACGCGGTGAAACCTAATATTACAAGGTCGTTGAGATTTATTTGTGAACTAGGCCCACTGTTTTCCTCAGAAAATAGCTCTATTACTGCTTACGCTGATAAGATGTAGGACCAGCTGAAAGAGCGCATGGTTGAACACTATCAGCATACCAAAAGATCGGCTGAAAATGGAGCACGTGTTTCAACCATGGTGTTGCATAAGTGGAATCCACATTACCGCACCAGTTCTGTCTTCTGAAAGTCATGTAGAAAACGAGTCATTGAGCAAACAATTGTTCTCGAATATTCCTAGTCATAGCCTTACGTATCATATAGTGGAAACAGGCTTACATAATGACAACCATTGGTTCAATTAAACGTCATTAATCGGAATCGGAAGAAAGGGTGTGCTTGCGTGTGTGCATTGGAACTGGAAAAAGCTTTCGATGTAGCTTATCACATCCCACTCAATCGATCGAAGGCGGCCCACGTTTGGACACTGACCATGGCCGAGGCGGTCGCCAATCGCTTACTTTGCCCAAAAACGACTTGTTCAAGCGCTTCGATTGCCCTGACCCAGTGTGAAAACCAAAACAGAACAGAACCAATCCCTTGGCCCAAATTGTGAAAGGTTCTATCAACTGACATAGTAAACGCTCCTACACACACGCACGCACACCCCCTATCCTCCCAATCCGATTATTGACTTATTTCAGTCAATGGTTGTCATTCTGTAAGCATGTTTCCACTATATACTGCGTAAAAGTATGGCAAGGAATATCCGAAAACAAAACAAACAAAACTCACTGACTCGCTTTCTCAGTGCTATTATGGAAATATTCAAACTGTCCAAATGATATACACGATGGAAGCACTACTATTGGATGCAAACATTGACTGTGAGCATTGATCAAATGTTACGATCCAGTGGTACGAGAGGCCTGACATCGTTTTCTGCATGCACAAATTTTAGATAGCTAGAGCTATCAACGATAGTTAGACGCGAATCAGTTCTCCGCTCGCGAATACGGTAAAGAGCAATAAGAGTATTTCTCCGAACGGCTAGAAAGACGGACAATGCATGACCAAAGTTTATAGAGCGAGAACTGCGCTGCGGGGTTTACACATGCAATGAAACAATGTGACTCACGGCGCATGGTTGAAATTTTTGACGTGCTCTGCTCTGTTTTGTGTTTCAATCGTAAAACTTTCCGAGTTTTCAATCTAAATTTGTTCCCCAGTGCTCTGATCGAAGGGCACTTATTAGCACGGATAAAAACTCCTTGCATATCCAATTTGATTGTTTACCTTGTTTATTTTGTGGATGGTTTTTGCGTGTCGCTTTCCTTTCACCACTGTCTTGCGTTTTGTGGCCGTGTTCTTGTTTAACTTTGACACCTTGGAATGACGCAGGTATCCTATCCATGTTTGGAGAACCGTTGACGAAAACAGCTTTCACATGCATCGAACGCGAAACCAGACGAAAGTTGAGCGCATGCTGCATGTTCAGGCATAAGAAAAAGTCACTAAGCCCTCTTGTGGTGATCCAGACGTATGTGACCGCATTCCAAGTACGACCAGGCACGGCTTCATGTCCAGTCAAAGTTCAGGAAACTTCACCAATGCTAAATCGGGCGAACATTACATCAGAGTTAGTTCATGCGATGCATCTGCATGATGCGTGATTGGACAATGTTCCTTCAACCAATGATAGGGCCTATTGCTTTCTACAGAATATGTCCTGTCAATAAACATTGGCACTTGCTGCTACCAATTCTCCGTGTATTTCATTGGTTTGGGTAGGAGCCAATTCAGTTCTGAGTACTACAATACTGGTTACAGTATTCCGATTTTCAATACTATTCCGATTATCAGAATCTGGCCTCCCGCAATGGGGATTCCTGCCATTGAACAATCAAAACTCCTCGGACGTCCATCGGAAATCGAAGAGTGTGTAGTGGAAAAGATACTACATATACGAATGATAAAGGAATAAACGGTACATGGAAC